GCATACTCTAAAAATATTATCATAATATAGATAACATTTTATCATAATATAGGTAATATAATCCAATTTGATACATAAGTCATATATCATTATATGCTACATACGATTATTTAGTAATAAGCATATTATTTAGAGATCCTGTGGTCATGTTGTTAGAGATGCTCTCTGTATAAGATTATGAATCTGATCTTGCAGCTAAATAGGTGGTTTCGGGGATTCAGTGATCCATCTTTACGTAGGAACTTTCTTAACAAAGCAGGGTTGCTAATGTGGATATGAAGGATATATTTGGATTGCCAATTTGAAAAAATCTTCTGCTATAGTATGTGAAAGTCATGTTGCAGAGTACTGAATGCACATCCCCGAAGCTAATGTTTCACTAGGGTTTTGTCTTTTGGAGGTAGACAGATTTTAAGGAAGAAGAACTTTGACTTGAATAGAATTTCTGTAGGGATGTTACGTTGCAAAATATCAGATCAGCATGCTGATCTGAAAAGAATGTGTTTACTCCACCACAGCAACTCTTGGAGGAATTAGAACATTTAGAACATGACCATCTTTCTTAGAAAATGGATAATGTCAGAAAAACTTGATTTTCCATTTCAATAAATAAAGCTGTACACATGGAAACTGCACAGAATTGGTTGGAGAACTCGCTGTTCTCACAGGAGTACATTCTGGGCTGTTTTTTTTTTTTCAGTAACTTTAATTTGCTGCAGATTTACTGTTTCTTGCAATAGGGATGCATCAGCCATCAGCAGCCATCAGCACCATTTTCAGATGTAGCCCACTGCCTCCTTAGTTTCTCTGTGAAATTCTGGTAACAGTAGTGTTTTAAAATCCTTACAATTATTTCCCAGTCAAATGATTCAAGCCGTACTTGATCATCTAGTGAGCTACTGGATAAAGTACTTTTCCATATTTTCATTTCGTGAACTTTTTTTACAAAAGACTGGAAGCCACATTTTTCCTGCTGAAACTATTTTCAGGTCATACAGACTGTTCCGTGTGCACACTGTATTCTCAGTCTCCAAGTAAGCTAATTTTCTAACTTAAACTAGTGTTCTTTTGTTTCCCCAATGAATCTTCTGTGTGGTAGGAAAACAGCTGTATATCCTACATTTTATCAAAGTTCCTTTAAATTATCCATTTCTGATATTGCAGAGGTGATGGCATCAACCTTAGAAAGTAAGCTGTATCGTCCTAGTACGGTAGAATGAAACTAGGAGGGAGTCCATTTTTTGTTCTCTGTTAAATGGGAAGATGTAGAAAGGTACAAAATTGCAGTTTGTAGACTGGTGAAGTTAGCTACATCGTCTAGAAGAAAATGACTTCTCTGTGTGCTTGCTGCTGTCCATGTAGATCTGAATATAGAAATGTCAGGGTGTATATGTGGTGTAAATTTCAGTAATTGAGAGGAAAATAATATCTCTAGAAATGAGAGGTTGGGAAATGACTGCTTTAGTTATCAATTTCCTCTGCTTTGCAGGAGCTCTTCTGAAATCCATTTACAGTTAATATTTTTATTCCCACATTTTCATTTTGTTCTTTTTGCCTTCTGGTATCTGAGGACTGTTGGAAAGCCTAAAATGGTATTGATTCAATGTTCACCTTAGGTAAAACTCTTTTTTGCTTTATCAGTACTGACTGTTATTGCATAAGAGCAGCACAGAGGAACTGAAGTTACAGATAACATATGCAAAGTGCATGATTATAATTTTTCACTTAGTTATGAAATATCTCCATTAGCCATCACAGGCAGAACAATTTAAAATCAGTTTCTGTTTCAATGTAAAATGAAACAGTTGCCTGTTGCACAAATATCCTATTGTTTTCTAGGCTATGTACAATTCTGACAGTTCCTTGTATGCTTGGGATCTGGTCTGACTTGAAGAAGTGCTGGTGTAAATCTTTGCCTAAGTTATTTACCTTCACCCCATTGGTAGAAAGTGCTTCTTTCTCCCCTCATTTTTCAAAATTCAGTTATATTTAATCCTGATGTTGCAAGACTGAACAATCCTAGCATGCTTTGACATGCATAGATGCTTGTTCCCAATTTTAATTGTTATATTGGACAGCTCCATCAGTATTCTCTGAAACAAAGTCTTCACAAGTAAAGAAGGACAGAGGATGGACTAATCTCTTAATTTCCAGTGTGAAGGGATTTAAGTATGACGGTCCGTGTCACGTGGACAGCAAACTGGACCATTGATAGAAGGTAATTCAGTCATTCTCACTTTAAATTGCGTGTGCCATCACTCTTTTATCTGGTGTAAGTAAGCTTTTGAAGTACAGAGGAATACAGTAGGAGACAAAATTTTCTTAGAAAATATTTCCCCACCCACCTCCCTTTCCCTCCTTCCCTCCTCTTTCCCAACTCCCTTCTTCTTTTCCTCTCTCCCTGCTCTCTCTTCCATGCTCTCTCCTCTAATCCCAGCAAAATTTCCTAGTCTGGTGATGAGCTAAATCTTACTGAAGCATCAATAAGTAGAGTGAACAGCTGACTGCACAGCCAGGGTGGTGTGACAGCCACTTGTTAGGCCCACCCTGTTTCTGTCCCTGCGTTCTCTCCTCTGCAGGCTGTCTGTGTGGGCATGTTGGCTCTTGTGCTGCAGTGCTATCATCTCAGCAGGTGAGTGTTCAGGGAAGGGTGTCCACAGCAGGCAGCACCAGGGAACCCCAGGTGCTGGCTCCACGGGGTACATTACCGTTACAAAAAGTCAGTAACAATTCCCCTTGAGTTTCCCTCACTACTCCGGAGCTATTAACAAGAAAACAGGAGCTGCCTCCGGGTTTTAACATGCACTATGTTTGTGTGTTCATGGATTTGCATCCCAAATCAGCCTCAGGGTCTGCAGGTCTGAAAATCAATGTCTCTGGTAACTTTTTTCCCTAGTTTTCTCCAAGCATTTGACAGGACAGGGAGTGTAATTCTTTAAAGGATTTAAAGTATAAATATGTTTCATTGTTTCTCTGGTCCAGTGTTTCCCATAACTACTTCTGTGGGAATACATAATGTAATCTGTTAATTGATCCAAGGAAATACTGTTTAGGTAGTTCCATTCATTTGGGTTTGTATTTAACATAATTTTGTTCATTCTCTTTGAACTATGCTCTGTTCTTCTTTCTTCATTCAAATGCACTCAGTTCAAGAGTCAAGGTTTAGGAGCTTTCAGAATTACCATAGTAAAAAATCTGTTGTGGCTTTACAAAATAAAAATATGTTACTCAGTTTCAAGTAGACCTTGTGAGTCTGAAATAAAAAAAAATAGTAAGATTTGTGATATCGCTGTTAAAAAGTTCTTCTTTGTTTAATGGTTCATAGTGAAGTTGCTTCTATTTAAAGCATTGAGTTTGATCTTGGCTTTGATCTAAAGCTTTTGATCTTGAAAGAAGGATGTTGTGGCAGTAAAACAAAAAGCGTAGGAGAGATTTTTCTTTTTCTTTTTTTTTTAAGTGGTAAAGGATACTTTCAAGACTTAGTATGCACTTATTAAACTTACCTTTACTTAAATCTGTTTGCAAAGTCTATCTAATTCTATATATTTGAGGGCTTGCTCAAATGCATGCTTTAATGAACCCTATTCTTCTCCAAGGGCACAGATTTTTCTTTTGAAGCTTTTATATATATATATATATATAGTATAAGAGTATTAAAAAAAACCCTGAAAATACCTTACTAGCATCATTTTAACTGTATCAAATATGATACAGTCTATCCTTTATTGCCTCTTGTTTTTTAAATATAAATACATAAAATCCTAACTTAAGAATTTATAGCATTCCATTTTGCATGGCTAACATGGCTTGGGTCTCTCCCATCATGGTGGAGTTAGAATATCCTCTTCAGAGGCTGCAGATACACCTGTTGAAGTCCCATGCCTGAATTCTTCACAGCACCTTGTCGAGTAAATAAAGCGTTTAGCCGAGGCCTAGGTAATAGGCTCTGTGTGCTACAAAATGACTTAAAAGCTGCTTTGCATCTTGTTTTTAAGATGCTTTCCAGAGCCTCCGAGGTAGTTCAGTAGTTGGATTCGGGAGTGCAGGCAGGTACCAAGGGCTGTCGTGGGTCAGTTCCTGGTGAAGATATCCTGTGCTTTGTCTCCTGAGCTGGCCCGCCAGGCCGTGCCTTTCTCCGACAGACCGGTAACAGCGGGTGTCTACAGCCAGGGTGCCAGGAGAGCGGCTTTCGTAGCCAGGGGCTCGAAGGGAGGGTGTCTCTAATAATTAGGCTGTAAACCCGTGACGAGCGTCCTGCCCAGGTTGGGAAGGGCTGTCCTGTCGGACGGAGGGAGCGGGGGCGGCAGCACCGCCGGGGCCGGGCCGGGCTCCGAGATTGGGGGTGATCCGAGCCGGGCCGGGCCGGGCTCCGAACCCGCGGGGAGATCCGAGCCGGGCCGGGCCGGGCTCCGAGTATGGGGGGCGATCCGAGCCGGGCCGGGCTCCGAGATTGGGGGTGATCCGAGCCGAGCCGGGCCGGGCCGGGCTCCGAACCCGCGGGGCGATCCGAGCCGGGCCGGGCCGGGCTCCGAACCCGCGGGGCGATCCGAGCCCAGCCGGGCCGGGCTCCGAATATGGGGTGCGATCCGAGCCGGGCCGGGCCGGGCTGAGGATCCGGGCCGGGCTCCGGACCAGGGGGCACACGGGCTGTCGCCGCCGAGCGGAGCCGCGGCCCGGCCGCCCCGGAGCCCCGGCCCTGACGTCTTCCAGGCTCCTCCTCCCCGCGGGGCTCGGGACCCCGCGGAGGTGTTTCATTTCCGACCAGGGCTGCGCTGTGCCGCTGCCGGGCGGGAGCGGGATGGCCCGGCACGGGACGGAGCGGGGATGGCCCGGCACGGGACGGAGCGGGATGGCCCGGCCCGGCCCGGCTCGGCTCGGCCCGGGGCAGGCGCGGCTCCGGCAGTCGCGGGGGCTGTCGGCGGGCGGGCCGGGCTGCTCCGTGGCCGGGGAGCGGAGCGGGGACCGAGCCCGCCTCAACGTGCGCTTTCTCCCCCGTGCAGCCCCTGCTGGAGGAGGCCGGGACGTGGAAGGAGGGACGGCTCGTCCGGCAAGTGAGCGGCGAGGTGAGAGGGAACCCTTCGCGGCTGGTACCCTGCGCCTCGCTTCTCGCCCTCGCAAATCTGCTCCTGCAGTTCTCCACCTGACACGCCACCCCCGCCCCTGCCACGCTTCTGCTTTAAAAAATAATTGCTTTCCGATTCAGTATAAAAATATTTGTAGGGTCAAAAAAAAAAAAAAAAAGGCCAAGTGTCTTTACTCTATGAAATAATAACCCCACCAGCCAAATTTGACGTTGGTAGTCTGGAACAACGTTCGAGTGAATGGCTGGAAATAAATCTCTTGTTTGAACTAGAAGGTGTAAAGGATAAAGCGCAGAGATTTTTGCCCGGGATTTTTGCACGCTGTGGTGATAATTTTCCATTTGGCAATGTGGTCTGGCATCAAACACGTTGTTTATGCAAAAAACCTTAAACCGAAAGCTCTGAGATGAAGAACACCACCTCGCACTTTGTCCGTGCACAAGTAACTAAACAGATTACCCAAGAGCACGTCACTCTGTATAGCAAAAAGTGCTCTTCCCCATCCAGTGAAGCAATTAAAAAAAATGTCTTCAGTCTCTCATAGCTTTTTAGCAATGCTGAGTAACTGCACTCAGGTTGCGTCTTCTTCCTAAAAAAGCACCGTGGTTTTGAACTCCAGGTCACAAAATGGATTCAGACAAACCAGAGGGTCAGAAAAAGCAGCAAAAAGAAAAGAAAGCAGGATGAAGTAACTTTCCAGAAGGTAAGCGATCTCGATGTCTGTTTGGGTAATGGGACAAAGGGCAGCAGATCTGAAATGCTTTCCGATTATGCCTTCATAAGCTCTATAGCGATGTTATTTAGTGTCTTCCACAAAATGATCGTAAAAACAGGGTGTTACAGATAAAGTTTCACAGTCACTATGTAGTTACAATGGCAAAAAGTTAACAATCTTTTCAGTTGTTAGTGTAGGAGACAAAATTGTCCTATATTTATATTTAACTAATATTCTGAGGAAGAAAGAGGAGGGTGCTTTCAGCAGAGAAATATAGCACTTGAGATCTTTTGGCAGGATCTGCACCACTGTTTTTGGATATTGGTAGCTGAGAAACAGTTTTCTTGGTGGATATTGGGACAGCGGTAGATGTGATGCGTATGTCGAAACAAATATTTAGACTATGCTGGTGAATCTTCATTCAGAGGGTGAGTTTGAAAGTCATCTATTTGCAATATAGATTTCAGTTAATGACAATGTGTCTAGAAAGTTATTTTAAAAATTACTACGGAAGATTTTTAAACCTGAATACAACTAAACTTAAACTATTTTTAAATCAGTGATTTTGATTAAGCTATTATGAGAGACTTGATCTTAAATTGCAATGTAGAGAGGTAAGTAATTAGCTGATATTTTAACTAAATAGCTGTTTTCTGTCCTCTAAGGGAAAAAACGTGAATAAAAATGCACTTCCAAATGCATTATTAGAACTATGGCGTTTTTGTTCGTTTTGGTTTTGCAAACAAATTTATGATTATTTTTTAAAACTCTAGTTACCTCTAAAGGATTAAAATAGCAGTGTGTTGCTTTGCTGTTTCGACAGTGCTTCTAGAATGCATGATGAATCATTGCTGTTTCTGTAGCCAAATTCTTGCTGATAGCATGGCTGCCAACTCCTGGGATGTGTTGCCTTAGTACGGACATTGCAACTATAGGACAAATGTGCTCAAAATGCCTGGTATAGGGGTGATTTATCAGCTCCATGGTTAGCTAAAAACCACCAAAACGCATCCTTTTATTCACTACTTGCATTCTGTAACTGGAAAACATAATTTAGGGAAGGTGTTCTATGGTGTTGTACTTTATTTACACAGAGATGGCATAAACAGTTTCATTCACAATCACATTTTGAAGTAATTTTTAAGCGGTACAAAGATCCTGTATTACACATGAACAGTAGGTTTAGAAGTGCCTTATTGCTGTTACACCAATCCTAATCTCTTTTTATAGGAGAAAGCTTCCTTAGTACTTCCTTAGTACTGATAAAATTCTATTTCTGTTTGGAGAGTTGTTCTCCTGCTGCTCAGTTTGTGAGAGAGAACTTCAGCCTTGTGAGAAACTTCAGCCTTGTGAGAAACGCAAAGCCCGATGTGTAAACCTGAGATATACTCATCTTTTTTTCAGCAGTAATTCTGGAGCAGGGTCTGTGAATTTAAATTGAAGGTAAACATAACTTGTTGTCTTGTGATATCTGTAAGTATTAATGTCGTGGAGGTCCAGTGCATGTTCGCAGTGCTGCTGGCCAGGTGCTGAGCTGCGTGGCAAGGAAGAGGTGTAACAATAACCTGGCACCCTGACTAGTCTCCAAGGTTGGAATTCTTTATGATGCATACAAGTTTGGCCATTGCAGTGGTGACTTTTCCAATACAGTTATAGATGAGAGAAGAGAAGAAGGGTGAGGGACCTCCCTGGAAGTACTTCATTGTATTATTTAGTTTCAAAGCTGGTTGCAGCTCAGTTTTCGATAAGGGCTTAACCAGTCAATGCCATTCCCAGTCAGTGTGGATGGTACTAACTTCTGTTCCACTAGAATTCTTGGTTTTTAGCTGTGTCCATATCAGTTTTCAGCAGAACTGGCATTATACAGCAGTTAAAGTATCTTTCAAGATAAAAAAGAGAAGAAGAAGGAGAAAAGCATGTAATGGAAAAGTGAGGCACTCCTTCAGAAAGTAGAGAGGTAGGAATAAAGGCATGGAGTGAGAAGAGGGAGCTGAGAAGGCGAGCAATGGTAAAGAGAAGTCAGAGAGTTGGTATCAGCTCATATCACAACTGTGATTAATATAAGGATAGTGATTTGCTACATCTAGAAAACTTGACTTTAATCTTGATTATCTTTTCCAAGCAAGCACAAACTTATTAAATGTAGCTTCTAAACTTTCACGTGCCTGTGATGCCCGATTTTCCTCTGTCATTTCTTTTCTTTGTGATAGGAAGTCCTATTTCTAATACAAGACGCATGACTTTACCACACTGAGACACCACCAAATCAAAGCAACTGCTGCATCCAAGTACAAAATCTATGATAGAGAGATAACTCTGCTTGTAAAAAGTGGAACAGAATTGTGAAGGAAAGGTTGCTGACAACTGCCAGGGAATTGCTTCTTGAAAAAGTTACCTTCTAAACAGTTAATTTTGAAGGAGGTGACGGTACATGCACTTATATTTATATAAAGATATTTGAAGATACCATGTAGTGGATAAGACCAGTATTGTGAACTGTGCTCAAGGGGCACATGAACCAGTGGGGAAGCTCGTGTAGGAAGTTGTGCTGCTTTCTAGTGTGGACCTACACATGGTGGATTACAGCAGGGTAACAGAATCAGTGGGTGAGAAAGGCTTTTATTCAAGTAGCTATGAGTTCTCATACTTTTGCTTTCCTTCTATATTTGGGAGAAGAGTTGGGTTTTTTTGGGTGGGGATTTCTTTTGTTTTAGCTTTTTTCATTATTTTTTGTTGCTCTGTCTCTGCAGTTTCTTATATTTTCTTACCAACTTTTGTCCCAGTTTTTTTTTCCTGCCTATTTTTCACCCCTCTTCACCTTCTCTGTTTTCCTTGGGCTCCTTTAGTTACCTTTGGTACTGTTCATTCCTTTCTGTTTACTTTCAGTAACTTTTATTTGTTTGAAAAAAAGGAGAAACAAGTAGAAAAATTGAAAAAAAAAATTGTCTTCTGCTCACCATGTTTTCTGTTTATAGTTCTCTATAGATACTCTTCTTACAGCGTGTGTATACATAAGTTTAAACACATTCACCCCTAGCGTTCTTCTTTTGTCGTTCTACCTATTCTCTTACATTTTTTATTCCTCATTTATTCTTGTGCTGTCTTGCTGCTTGCCAGCACAGTTTGCAATCAGAATGTGTATCAATAGAGGATGATGTTCATGTGTGAAATTTAGAGAAGGTATAACAGAGCTTGGTAAGAATTGTTTGGTTAAAATTAGTGTTGTTTTATTATGAAGAGTGTGAAATAGATGTTGTGTTATTATTATTTTTTTTGTAATACTTGACTGTGTCTGCTTGAACCAGTGCTGAACGTTAGGCAGAAGAAAATAACCTTTCAGTCAGGCTAGTGGAATTGTAGCAGGCAATCTGTGTCTACTGTGGAATTTGAGGGGAAACATTTTTCATTAGAAGACCGATTCACTTTTACATGACATTCAGAGTTAAAATATAAAGGTTACTTTAGAAATGTTCCAGTGGTATAAAAAATGTAATAGGGTGAGGTATGCAGGTACCCAGTATTTAGGAAAAACACTGAAATATGTGTGTATATATACACACAATAGGTAAGGAAGATATTTCTTGCAAATTATCAAAACTGCATTTGTCTGTTTCAGTTTTATTTCAGTTGTATACTGGAAACTTTGAGGAGTAATTCAGTGTTTCCAGAATAATTTCTGCTACTTTTTCAGAAATATGTTTTAATGTGTTTAAAGTTTGTCTGCCGGTTTACCAGCGATGTGACTGTCATTGGATTTTTTTCCTACTGGTTGTTGCATTTGTCTCACTCCAGAGATTTACAGCTGTCAGTACTTAAGCTCTGTGAATAACCTGAGCAAAAATGACTGTTGAAATGGCTGTTAAGTTTCTAGTAAAAAATAAAAACCCCAAAAGAGTTGTGATATATATGACTAACGCTAAATGCTGTAACTCTTCAGTTCTTTAACAACGAATTCACAGTGTAACTGAAATACAAGAAACAGATCTTGTAATCCACTAAAATGAGCCTTCTTGTTATGTTTTAAATAGAAAATGTTTTGAAGTCTCAGAAAAAAATGTTGATTAAAAAAAATTGTGTGGTTAAGAAAGCTCTTAGTTAAGGGAGTTTATTCACGATGATGTGTTTCTTCTAAATCAGGTAAAGACCATTAATATAGAGTGCATTAAAATTACTTTAAATCTTCAATTGCCATGTATTTTTTTGTTTCTCAAATGAATGTTTTTACCTGGCTCCAACAAACTAAGAATCAAAGCAAGGATCCAATCTGAAATAATCTCTAGAGCTTGTGCACTGCGTAGTGCTTAACAGCTAAAAGAAACACAGTGAAAAGTTGTAAAGTGTTACTCAGAGAGTCTTCTGTGACATTATTTTCTGTACCAAATTCTGTTAATCTCACAGAACTTTCTAGGAACCCTGTAAACAGTCCTTCACTAATTACAGAAAACATTTAATTCCTTTTGAGATCAGGAATTTGAATGGAAGACTTTATACTCCACTCATGCAGAAGATCTGAATTGCAGTAAATGTTCTTAAGCTATCTGGGAAATCGAGTAATTTAAAAAACTTTTCTTGTGAATACATGTGAATATCATTTCAAGCCATTGGAACTAAATGTTTGTAGTATTTAGTTTTGCCTCCCTGTAATCATGTCCGTGTTTATGAATTGCTTGGAAACTGTAATTGTGCAGCTCTAGACAGCTATAGATTTTTAGGATAGTGCTGCTTCAGGATTCAGTTAAGAAACATGTAATAAAACAAGAAAATACTATGTCTGTGTATAAAAAAATGTAAAAATTCAAGAGTTGAGTGGAATTTTTGGTTTAGCAATATATTTTTTTTAATAGTCCAGTTCTGACTACAGTGTCAGCTGTATTTTATTTGGACTAGCAGTCTGTTAGGATCTTAGTTTTCTTTTTAGCAGCACCTATCTCCCTTATCAAGGAGTTGTTGTTGCATAGTATATTTCACACTGAGTCTGCTAGAGAGAT